GTTAATAAATCGCAAGTCTAACGGCATTTAATGAGCCATTTTGGGAACGTGCGTTTATAAGGGTAAAAATGTCTGCTGAACCCGAATTCGGATGTTGCCAAGCTGATTTTTGGCTAATTTCAAAATGGCGGCCAATATGGCGGCCAAATATATAAATTTTTATGCCAAACGCATTTTACATAGTTTTTCGGATTGAGGTGTTAAAAAAGCATACAGGAGGCACAGAAAATTGCAAAACTTATATATTGGGTACATTATACAGACAACACGGTAACAATATAGAGATAATTCTGACGGCAAATGTATTACCTATATTTCGTTCAAAAATTTTAACGGAACTTAAATTTCTTCATCATTCTGCTCATTTTTTGTACGATTGAAGTAGTCGCCAAGACACTTGTTATTTGTAGATATTTGTGCACTTTTAGCTCATAGCATAATTTATTTAAAGCCAAGTTTTTAGGAGGACTAGTCTGACCATTCGATTTTTCAGTGTCCCTTATCGCATTTACGAGACAATATGTATGGTACAAAATGTCCCCGGCAACAGCATCATGAGAAGATGCAACTCTACGCCCTTCTGTACCCACTGCACCCAATGTAAATTTCCATAAGAGCGTCTGCCTAAAAAACTCAAGTTGTTTTTGAAAAATAAAATTTTATATTAATAATATATAAATTTTATATTTTATAAATTTAGACCTTTATCTACAAACTGTTCGGAATATTTTTTTAAAAAAGTTTATAGCAACTGAATACCGGCTGTTTAAAGATTAGATATTTTGCACCGATTATTGCGCTAACCTGTTATATTGTTTTACTCTCGATCAAGAAGATTTATGGCAAAAGTAAACCGACAGTTTTCTAGATAAGTCACTTCTGAACATTACCCCAAAAAATGAAATCACATTTTTTGTAAATAAAGTCTGTATCTTGGCGGGCGGTAAATAAACAATTTGAGTGTAGCAAGTGGCGCCGCTGCACTGTGTCGGCGGGAACCGAGGGGTAAACCACCTAGTTAATTCGGTGTACAAATAGTAGTTAATGTTCTGTAAATGCAGTTAATTTCGAGTTAATTCAGTTAATGTAATTTAATGTGGTTAATGCTCAGTTAATGTAATTAATTAACATTTAATGCCATTTAATACTACTCGAGATACTACTATAGGTAGTGGCTATAGCATGTGAAAAACCAAATTTTGAACCTGGTGTTAGATTTGCTTTTATTCCAAGTGCCTATGTATCAAATTTTATTTAAATACTTTCATAAATAAAAAAGTTTGCAATTCAAAAAGGGCACTGTCAATGTAGAATTGATTAGGCCCAACTTTTAGCATTGCGTATTATATGGCTAAAACTATGCCCTCGACTATGCCCATATTGAATTTCATGCAATTCGGTTTATAACTAACGTACATTGCCAATTCACGAACTCCGATCTATAACTCTGATAAAGAATCCAAATGCAAAATGAACAGATCTCGGGACAGATGGACAGGCACCGCAAAATTATAGACTCTCTACGTCTTAGGAGATCGTCAATAATTTGAAAATGTTGGTTATTTAAAATATTTTTGCTATAGTGTTTTATAAAGAATTTAATAACCTGTCATATTATGTAATAATACACAGGGTGTTCCATATCAAAGTCACATTTTTGTTATCATCTGAAAAATGCGATGTGGTTTTGTTTTTTTAAATGCAGACTTGAATTCATTGGAAAAAATACGCAATTATTATTTATATATATTTATATATATATATATATAGTTGGAAAAAACCTAAATACTTACCAACGGTTATTAAAAAGCACAAAATTTAATAACAAACAAAATTTGCCGAGGAAAATGTAAAACACTAATTTAATTAATTCACAGCTTTTTTGGGACACCCTATATATCACCACAGGATATATTTTCCTACATTTTTTCGAACTAGCTATGAAGGTAATTAACCATCTCTTACGTATATATAAGTAATAAATTATGGAAAACAATTTAATACTAAATAGTACACAATACAATAGATAGTGGCGCCATCGTGCTGTATTTGTGAACTAGTGCAAAATTCGGCCTGGCAACATCCAGAATCGGATTCAGCACATTTTTTTACATCTAAAAAACCATGTGGCCAAAATGGCTCATAAAATGCCGTTAGAACTAAGAAACAGAGTCGTTTTTCGATTTGGCCACTTAACTAAATTGTTTTATACAATTTTTAGAATTTTCTGGGTTTTTTTAGAATTTTAGTATACACAAAATTTGAAGTGCTGTACCCTTCGGGAAATACTTACAGTAAATCGCGTGCGTGAAGTCCAAAAATGGCCACATATGTTCGTCTTCGGGTCGTTCCTTAAGGCCTTTAGGTGCCAAAAAGGTCAAAAAACTGCTGTGATCCTGTAATTTTTTGAGACGTCGACTTGCGGTTTTTTGAGGTCGACAAAGGAAGGGTGCGGCCTCAACCTCAACTTCGGGATAGGGCGGCTCTGAAACCGTAAGTGTCAGGTTACCCAATTCGATATTTTAACAAATAAGGAAGTTTCGAATTTTTTATTGGGGTCATGTCGGATTTTAGACCATTTTTCGGTCCTGCAGCTCAAAATTGTCCTCATTTTTAGATTCTGTGCGCCCGATTTAGTAAAGAAACAATTTTTTAGTGCCTAAAATTTGTTGAAAATGGCCATTTTTCCGATACGTAGGCCCTTAGCTGCCAATAAAGTAAAAAAAAACGCTCTTTTGCCTCATTAATCAAACTGAAAATTCATGAAAAAAAGTATCAATTTCAAAACTAGTTGTACAAATCACTATTTCAAGTTTGTTTGTATTTTTTTCAATGTTGCGTCATGAAATTTTGTTAGCAAACCTCAGATTCGGATTCAGCACTCCAAGAAACATATAGAATCAAAGAAATCAAAACTACCCCACAACTTTCCCACTAGATGCCCGTTTGAGCACAAATGTCCTGTATTATTCACGGGAAAAGTGAAAGTTCGGAAATTCGTTCAGAAAATTAACAGCAAATCGGGTGCGTGGAATCCAAAAATGACTGCAGAGCCGTCCTCGGGCCCTTTCTTAGGGTCCTTAAGTCCCCAAAAAGTAAAAAAAAACGGATATGACTCTCTTCCAAGCTCCTAACTTCTTCATTTTTTTAAACATCGACTTGCGGTTCATATCTCTCACACTCGATATCTTAACAAATAAGGTAGTTCTGAATTTTTTATTGGGATCATGTCGGAGTCGGACCATTTTTCGATCGTTAAGAGGCCAAAAATACCCCTGCACCTCAAAACAGACCTCATTTTTAAATTCTACGCATTCGATTTAGTAAAGAAATAACCTCGGAAATAACATTCTGTCAGTTTCTAAAATTTTTCAATTTCGATTTTCCTAATTCTTGGGGCCTTAGGTCCCAACAAAGGTAAATAACACTCTTCCGCTTCATTTCTTGCGGTTTCCTTAACTTTGAGGAGAAAGAGTTCTGGCGAGACCGTTGGGTGACTTATCAGTTTTAAAATTTTCTGGAAAACCTTATACTTAATAAAAAAAAATGAAGATGCTTTTTCGTATTCTAAGTGCCAAAACCACTTTTGGTACAATTTTTTATTTCTGATTAGTGATTAGGGTTGCCGGTATCCTCTTAGTAGTTCTGAAGGTTTAGATTTTGGCTGATGGCAACCTATAATAAAAACTGGGGGATTTTTGCTTTTGCCACTAAGAAATACAAAACAGGACCTTCTTGTGCGATGTTGGAGTTTTTACCAGAATTATGGAGAACCCCTCAACAGTTGTAAAACCTTCTCTTTTGTTGTTTTATGGTGAAAAAATAACATTATTCGTATTTCAAGTGCAAAAAAGTAATGTTCGAGGCCGTTTCTAGTTGGAATGTTTCGAGTTTGATTAGAGTTCCGGATAGTACCTCAAGATTCGGATAATTTTCGACTAAGATTATGGTTAAAAACTAGTAATTGACTGTGGAAAAACTCCTAACAGGGGCACTAGAACTAGTTATGATGAAGTTTCGCATTTTACCCTTAAATATAAACACGGTTCTCAGCATTTCCATAGGAAATATAGTTTTGGTGGAATTTAGGAGTTCTGGCGACTGGTCTTTTGCCCTGATTTTTCATGGAACTTCAGGAACTTGAAAACTGTTGATGAGCTCTTCGGTACTCTAAAAAAATTCACTTTTGACACAATCTAGGAGTTGGGCTTCCATATTCTCAGAATTAACTAATTTCCGAAACAATTCCTTCTAAGATTTATCGAGAACTCCAGAACTTTATGGGGGCCCTCCAGAAATGTCATTAACAATTGCAAACTTGTAAAAATGAGGGGCGAATGTGACACGCGCCAACATTAAACAGAAATATGAATCCGAAAAGGTGCATTTCCATATTTATGCTCCACTTCCTCAAGTATAAATAAACATTGTTTTTGAAACGAACCGGAAGTGGAAATACCTGCATAAATTCTTGACGCTGCTACCTTCGCCAATTAATAGTTGCGGTTGTCCAATTCAATGACAAGTGACAAGAACATAATTTAGTAGGTCAATGATCCTCACCTGACGATCGATAAGTAGCTACACACACTTGTTCCATACCTACTCATACAATTTTCATTTACTCGCAAAGACGCGAGCTGCAGCTTTAAAATAATGGCATAGAAACACGAACATACTTTTGGACTGGTTTTATAAATAGAAAAAAAACGTAGGTTTTTGCTTAATTATCATACCCATACCTTACAAACTAATATGCTTGTTGACCTAATTGCAAAGAATAACAGGGATGGGGAAGTGGTCGTCTACTCTGTCATACTTTGAGGACCCTTTTCTAAAGTATAGTCGTTTGTCGATATAGGCGATGCGACGACTTCCTGTGTTCATTTTTGTATTTCCTGCAGTACGTGAATGGAATTAACTATACGTATAGGAAGAATACCAAACGACCACGTTGTTACACCTTTGGCAATAAAAAGAGAAAATTATTTTTAGTCGGCTAATGGTTATTCAACAACGAGGGTTTCTGAACTCTGCCGTCTATTAGATTATTAAAGCACTATTAGGCACATGAGGTTAGGCAGCTCATTTCATCAATGTCCAGGATATCCATGGGAATTAAGTTCCTAGGGTTTCTCTCTTTCCGACCTTGACTCCATCGGATTCTTCAGCTCTGCAAGATCCCTCGGTCTCTTCGATTCTAGCATTGGTCTATGATTCTAGCAACTTCATCGGCTGCCTAGACCCTATCGAATCCTTAGCCATCTTCTGCTTCAAAACCCTTGATTTATCAAATTTCCTTTGCTCCTTCCCTTTCCTTGCTTTCCAGTTCTTCCTTGGCGTCTTCGACTTCTAGAGATTACTCGGCATATTTTTCTTTATTCGACTTGTACCTTTTGCCTTGACATTAGTGTTATTTATAGCTTTCTGTCCGACCGCTCGTGTATCTGACAAACTTTTTTATTGGACTGATCGTTTCTAAATTTGATATGCAGGTTCTCGGCAGGTTCTTTATAAATCAAGAAATTGATTATCCGCTCTTAGACTTTGCGGAATAAATTTCATTTATTTTATTTATTACAATTTTTAACGGATACTTCGTGAGTTAGAAGCGGAAATACTTCCTCGCATATTATATTCTCCTGATACAAAGGTTTAAAGGAAAATCTAATCTCTTGGTAACCATACAACTCTTGAGAACAAAGCAATCCTTCTCATGGTTTATGTTCTCCTGCTAGCCAGAGCAAATTAACATTTTTCTCACAGATACTCCGCGAGTTAAGAGCACCTCGCACATTATATTGTCCGGCTGCAAAAGTCTAATCGAAACTAAAGTGTTGGAACGTTTCTCTTCAGTTTAGAAAACACCTGCTCACAGATTATACTCGACTGGTAACCAGAAAACATTTACAGCCATTGTGTAACTATGTATTAGGAGCAGAAACACCTCCTCGCACATTATTATTATATTGATACAACAGTTTAAACAAAAAGAAAGTGTTAGAACATTTCTGTTGAGCATAGAAAAGGGCCCTCTCAGGGGTTATGCTACCTTAATAGACAGAGACTCCATGAATTAGGAGTAGAAACGTAAAAAAAACGGTTGGAACATTTCTCTTGAGCACAAAAGAAGACCTCGTATGGGTTATTTCTGTTGAGCTTATGGATTATGTTCGCCTGGTAGACAGAGAAAGATTATAACAATTTTCGGATACAAAGGTTTAAAGAAAAATAAAGTGTAGGAACGCTTTTTTCACGTATAAAAAAAGACCTCCTCATGGATTCTGGTCTCTTGGTACCCATAATAAATTTACAATATTTCTCTAACTCTTCTTCTTGAGTTAGGGGTAGAAACGTTTAAACGTAAACAAACTGTTGGGGCATTTCTCTTATGCACAGAAGAAGACCTCGGCATGGATTATGTTCTCCCAGAGAAAATTCAAAACAATTTTCTAGCGGATACCCCATGAATTAGAACCGGAAATACTTCCTCGCACATTATATTCTCCAGATACAAAAGTTTAAACGTAAACAATGTGCTGGAAGGTTTCCCCTGAGCACATAAATTATGTTCGCCTGGTACCCAGGGAAATTTTCTCACTGATACTCAACGAATTAGTCCTCGCACATTATATTCTCCTGACGCAAAAGTTTAATCGAAAATAAAGGGTTGGAATATTTATATTGAGTTTAGGAAAATACCTTATGGATTATGTTCCCCTGATAGACAGACATTTCTGGATACTCCGTGAAATAGAAGCGAAAATACTTCCTGGCACATTACAATCTCAGCTAAATCCAGATCCCAACGTTTAAATCTTCATGCGGTACGATATAACAAAGAAAACCCTTGGGAAGAATCCTCCCGAAACAAGAACAACTACAAATAAACCTCAGGTGTAACTTCGAAACCATAAGACACAAATTCGCAAAAATTCTTACCTTCAGGAAGAAGTGGATGGGTAAAATTAAACCAGCTAAACACGACTTTGTTGCAATTTTCGAAAGTAACCAAGAAAAATTACCGTGTGGCCTCAAAATCCCCCATATTGATGTAGAAAAAGGTCAACCTCCCGTCAAACGGCATCAAAACATTCCCAAACTGCTTTCTGCAAGCCAAACCAAACGAACATTCCCATTTTTAACAAATTTCCAAATCTCGATTCGTGCAAATTCTCCCGAAGGCAAAGCAAACCTCGCCCATTATATTTTCCTGATGTTTTATAAGAAAAGAAACACCTATTCCGTGAATTAGGAGCCGAAACGTTTAGTCGCGCATTATTATCTCCTGATGCAAAAGTTCATTGAGCACAGAAGTAGATAGTGGATCACCCAGAGAAAATTTACAACAATTTTTTAACTGATGCTCCATGATTAGGAGCAAAAACGTCTCTATGAACATTTCTCTTGCGGATACAAAAAGACTTCCTCATGAATTATGTTCTCCTGGTAGACAGTGCATGAATTATGAGTCTAAATACCTCTCCGCACATTATGTTCTCCAGATACAAAAGTTTCAACGGAAACAACGTGTTGCTACATTTCTCTGGAGGTTTCAAAGAGACCTCCCCATGGATTACGTGTAATTTGCACCATTTTTTGACAACACAATTATATTCTCCTGATTAATCTACTTTGGTTTCTTCGTCTTTGATTTCTTAAGCATCTTGGGTTCTTCTGCTTTTGTTCTGCTTCGAGTTTTGTGGATTTTTGACTGTTTAACTTTCTTTCCACACCACTTTTGGCTTCTTCGAATTCTTCGGACTCTTGTGTCTTCTTTGAGCCCTTCATCGTCTTCTTCGATTGGGTGCATTTTTTTGTTTTTTGGTCCCCTTTAATTTAAAGACTTTTTTCCATTCCGATCAAATGTATAAAAATTAAACTGGATTCTGGGGGTAGTTACTTTTGGAATTTTCTCGTTTCTTATCCCAAATGAAAAACCGGAGAGAATGCCGAGGACAGTCTAAAGACTACCAGGAAATACTAGAGAATACCACAGAATACGTGAAAGAAATTGACATGTAATAAAAGAAGCGATTAAAAAATTAATAATGTCTTTTTGTTTCAGAGACTGGTCGGTCCAGAAAGCTCGCGCAAAATGCGATCTCATACCTTGTGCATATCCACATTATTAACATTACTAGTGTTTGTGTCGGCTGAAGATGATACCGTCGGACCGGTATTCGTTCGCGAACCCCCAAACCGAATCGATTTCTCCAATACAACGGGCGCGGTGGTGGAGTGCAGTGCACGTGGTCATCCCCCTCCGGAAATAATATGGGTTCGTTCCGATGGCACGGCGGTTGGAGATGTCCCAGGATTACGGCAAGTTTTGGCCAACGGCAACCTGGTCTTCCCGCCCTTCCGCGCCGAAGACTACCGCCAAGAAGTACACGCTCAGATCTACGCCTGCCTCGCGAAGAATTCCGTTGGATCGATCCACTCGAAGGACGTCAACGTGCGTGCAGGTTAGTGCTCTTGCCATTTCGATTCTTTCACATTTTCAGAAAAAATGCCTAACGAAAGCTTTCAGTGGTAGCGCAATATTACGACATCGACGTGAACAAGGAGTACGTGATTAGGGGCAACGCAGCAATTTTAAAGTGCCAGATACCTTCTTTTGTAGCCGACTTTGTATCGGTCGTCTCTTGGCATACCGATCAGAACGAGAATTTCGCGCCGGGCGCTCCGGATGGTAACTAATTTTGGTCGTTCTTGCAGTTGTCCAACAGTTTTACCAGACGGAGGTGAACAACGAGTACGTCATCCGTGGAAATGCTGCTGTTTTAAAATGCGCTATACCTTCGTTTGTTGCCGATTTTGTAATCGCGACATCTTGGGCTGACAGCGAAGGGAATACCTATAATATGGACGAAAAGAATTATGGTAAATTTGCCTTTCCACGGATGAACCTTTTTTCTCCTCATCAATCCTCACGGGCGATTTGTGTCGGTGGGAGTTCCAGGTGTTTACTCACTTTCTTGTTGCAGTTGTTAATCAGTACTACGAAGCTGAGGTGGTATCCGAGTATGTAATACGCGGGAATACCGCCGTTCTTAAATGTAACATACCGTCGTTCGTTGCCGATTTTGTAAGGGTAGAGGCCTGGGTCGGTAGTGATAGCAAAGAGTACACCTATACCACTGACTATGGTAAATGCTTGGTTGTGCTATGGTTATCAATCACCTTGTCAAGCACCTTTCCAAGCCACCACCCTGGATGTACTTTACTTGCGCCGTTACTAACACCCGTCCCCTTTTGCAGTGGTAAATCAGTTCTATAAAGCGGAAATCCTGACCGAGTACGTTATCCGAGGGAATACCGCGATTCTGAAATGTAGCATACCGTCTTTTGTTGCCGATTTTGTTCACGTCGAATCTTGGATCGACGATTCCGGAAAGATACTCACAGTATCGAACGATTACGGTAATTTGTCTTATTAACTGTTTTTACTCTTTTTCGGCAGTGGTGTCGCAATTCTATGTAACCGAGGCCGAAAATGAGTACGTGATTAGAGGAAATTCCGCAATTATGAAATGCAAGATTCCTAGTTTTGTTGCCGACTTTGTTCAAATTGATGCCTGGATTGATTCTGATGGCAACTCGCTTAAGTATGGGGACGGAAATTATGGTATTACTTGCATCTCTTAAATTTTGAATTGCCATACCTGCTTAGGGATTTACTAGAATCCCTTGACCCCGACTGACATTCGTTTCATATGCACAAACTTACCACCTCGTGGTTATCGGCGCGATCGGAGTGTTACGGTCAACAGTCTAACACCAACTGTATTAATTAACTCGTTTTTAAATTAAATGTTGCTCTGAAGATCTTGTGTTGTACTAATACTTCTATGTCATACAGACTAAGCAAACGCCACAATTTTCATTATTCTTTTAATTAAACGTGGAAAACTGGACACAAAACCAGCATAACTTAAACGTTAGATCAGAATCCTTCGCTCTTTTCATTTAGTTGTAACAGTTCATAATTTGCCTTTAAGGTCAATCCGTTTTAAACATTCAGTATCTTCGCATATTCGAATAAATCGTGAGAGTGCAATCGGAAACCTTTGTTCCTATCAATAACCCAAAATCAAAAGTTTGATATCTCCGTTAATGTTTATAGGCGAGACGTAATATTACACGAACAAAACGAACACGCAATCTGTATTAATTAAATAAAAACAGAAAATCTTCTTTTGTTTCCGATGGATTACACTCGTTTTTAATTGTAAGATTTCCGGAACTCGCGAGTAATGGACGTTTCAAAACGACAGCGACACCCGAAAAAATTACGAACGTCCGCTGTGGTAAGATCGTAACGACATTTTTTGCGGCAACTTAACGTGAGTCCCTTGGAACTTTTAAGCCGAATGCTCTCAAAAACTTCCCATACTGGCCCCGTTCTGTTCTACCTTAATTAATGACTACCCACAAAATGGCGAATTGTTAACGAAAACGGACATATTTAATCCTTAATTTGTTACTTAACTACACGAACACTTCATGTTTCAAGTAAATTATTTGTTCACATTGTGTTACTGTGTTTTATACATTTTTTGTTACAATATTATCAAAATTATTTAATACTCATCTGACGCGACCAAACAATTGTAATTATTGAATGAGTCAACGAAATATATTATTATTATAAATCTCGCTTTACGAATCAAATGAAACTTAGGGTGATAAATCATTCCTATGCATTTGTAACTAAATAGCCCTAATAAATCTGAATACGATCCCCATTCCAGACATCGAAACAATACTCCATTCAATTGAAACTACGCAAAAAGGACGATCTTCAAGTATAGTACCAAACAGAAACACTCACGGACTTTTTGAATTCTACGAAATATAATTTTTTCTCCAACCACCTGAATAAGACGCTATTTTGTGACAGTGTTCGGTACCTAAAATTGACGTTTTGCGGATTAATCGCTTTCACCATGGCAACTGTACAAAAAGTGGATACTTTTGGTCCTAGTACCAAAAAGAAATTGACCTTGAAAGTTGGCCAATTAAAAAATTACAATCACGGAGATATGTCACATTGACATCGTTTTACATTGCAGGTTGTAAGATATTTCTATACATACAAATCAAATATTTTTGCAGATTCAATGCAAATAATGATGTTACCTATACGTATGTACATGTATTGAAAATGATTTACGCTCGCTATTTTTATTTAAACCATGTGTAACGTAATTTACATATTCCGTGAACGTAATTTTAATACGTAGACAACCCGCCGTCGCGCGTAACGCCATCTACTTCAGACCCATTGCACTATTATCTGTCATTTTGAATTCAAAATTTGAAAAAGTTAATTGCAATTAATTTTAATTAAAAAACTGTATGGTAAGTTTTTTATTTCAATACAAAATATAACAATATTAATTGTGTATACAATAAAATGACTGAAACTGATAGCGACATGGATTGCACTCCGTCAGAGATTATAGAAACGGCAGAACATGCTACCTCAAGATTTGCTCCCTACAAAGTCGCGAGAGGTGAGAAGTAAGAGGTAAAAACGAATAGGTTATAAGTTAACCTAAAAACTAGAGTGGCATGACACGTGAGGACAAGAAAGCAGAAGTTCTTATACTATAGTAGTGAAACTGTAACTGAATCTAAATTGGAATATAATTTGAAGTAAAGGGGGTTGGAGAAAAAATTTTATGTTTTATTCGTACAAAAAAATGCGTTTTCGGGACTCGGAAGGTTGCTGGACTCCGCTAACGCGTCGTCCAGCAACTATCTTCCTCGTCCCGAAAACTGACATTTTTTGTACTAATGAAACAAATAACTATATTATCCAATATTTTTACGCCTTGTAGATTTAAGTGATATGGAATCTCTAACTTCACAACGAAATTTCGAAAAAAAAATGTAATGCAAATTTAGAGCTACCGTTACATATGTTCTCTTCATACGCATATCTCTTTGTGATGTATCAGGATCACAGATACGCAAGAAGGTATAGAACCGTGGAGGATATTTAATTACTCAATGATGATTGGCAAACCCATGTCCACTCGATCTTAATATACATCTGGAAAATTCTGAAAAGACTAGAAATCGATTATAAGGTTCTAAAATTGGCCAAGGAATCCTTTAAAAGAATTCATGAAGCCCATAAATGTCAGTTCTTGAAGCTCTATTTGGTTCTGGAATGATCTGTAAAATCCTTAACAAAATATATGGGAAATTTTACAAGAAAAACAAAAAGTGAAAGTGAAAAGCGCTTAGAAAGATTATTGTGTAATTCCGGATATAAAATCGAAAAGTTTAGTATGAAAACGCTATCTTCTGGGTAGTAATTTGGGCTTGATTTAACACATAACTAACCACTTACATATGAAACAAATTTATTCGACATCAATCAATCGAATAAGCTGAAAGAAATATAGGCATTCAGGATGCAACAAATACCACGCAACAAGCGATCGATAATAACAATTCATTAAAGCAATCTGAATTAGCTTCAAGTGTTAATAATCTTTGTATCGGGTCAATTACGATTGTCTTTACACAGACGCACAAAACAAACCATAATACTTTTGAAATGGGGAAATTCCCTTTAACGGGTACCGGGAAGCAACTACTTCTTCACTTCTTTAATTCGGCTTAAACATTCACGGATTTATGGCTCAGTGGTAGAGCATTGGGTTATAAATCCGAAGGTCGGGTGTTCGAACCTTGGTTGAGGTGAATTTTTCATCTGTGGCGGAGATGGAAATTACCTTACACCAGTTCCGAGCATTCTACCGGCTACTCCGAATTAGGTTTTCCTGCAGTTTTCCTAATTCGTAAGGTAAATACCGGAGTAGTATAGACCATCTTAAGACCTTCTGCAGAGGCACCTCTAAATAGCATTATGCGGGTCACTCTGTAATTGGGCGCATGCCTGTTGAGGGCCCAAAACAAGAGAGGGATAAAATTAAATTAAATTAAATTAAATCACGACGACTTAAATCGGCGAAACAACCTGTTTTGCAACAAATACGGTTGTGTTTTAACGCCCACCAAACCCAGTGGTAGGCCAGGTAGGGTAAGTCGAATGCTACGAACGGTCACGGTCACGAAAATATTGAAACGCTCGGAGGGGAATGAGAGCACAGGTTCTCCATACTTAAAACGCTGGGAGGGGAATTCTCAGACAATGCGCCGTCTTGTGAGCAAATGCAAAAGTGGAATACTGACCTACATCTATATGAGATTCGTTTATATTTCAGACTAGGGAAGTTTCTCTTCTGACGTATGTAGTTCCTACGCAGTTTTTTTTTAAACTTTGTGAACCATCTCCTCCTTATAAAAATAATGCCTCGTCTAGGAATACTCGGCATATGTGTTTAAAACTTCCGCGATAACACATCCTTATCTTGAAACTAATTAGCTTTTATGCATTAAAAAACGATCGGAGATAAGACTTTTACAAATACTACGCAAATATTTACAGATTTTCCTTATCTTCTAAAGACAATAAAAAAACAAAAAGAGATTATTTAAACAAAATTAACATCATTCAGTAAACAATTCGGATACAAAACCTTCACTTCGAAGTCTAAATTTTGCCTCTTCGTATCAAAATTCGAAGCTGCGCAAACAAAACCAGATATACCTTGAGGGCTAAGTTAGTAAATTAGGGGTTCAGGTGAATTACATTTTATGATTGTTGTTCAGAGTTAAAGATTAAGTGGTCGTATTTGCTTCTTGTACAAATTTTTTCTTTTCGCATGAAAAATGATTGTTGATGTGACAAAATAATTTCAGAAAGAATGCGTGTGGGTACAAATTAGTCTTAAACGTATAGGTAACAATTTTCAGATTAAATTTGAAATTTACATTGTTATATAATTATTCAATTGCTTAATCAGTCACGAAACGAACTCGGGTACAAATTAGGCCGCACTTCAAATTATTGAGTTCGAAGGCTAGGACCTCCCATCTCGGTGCATGTATTATAATTTTGTGGATCCAAATTAGTCTTTAATTAGTCCTAAATTAGAGGCACATCAATTTCCAATTCAGGACAATGCCATTTTATTGAGGAGCAAGAAACGAAACGTAAGGAATGGAGTTAGGGATCAGGATGTTGAGGGAACTCTGATATCATCACGCATCAATGCTATACATACATGCCCAAAAGTCTTTTAATGTTGCAACAGGAAATTGTGCATTTAGCATCCCAAAAAACATACAAAATGCGAGAAATCAAAGCTACCCGGCCCGACCACTGGACAAATTATCTGATGTGCGAAAAATTAAGAGAGCAAAGTTGAAATGCGTCTAATTAAATTATTGTTCTTGTCATCAATTAAAGATGACGCTGACCGTAAATAAAACATTACTAATTTTTCAAAGGAAGTTAGAAACTTAGTCACCTTGGTTGTGGTCTGACAAAAACCGTAAACATAATTGTCATAGATGATGCAAGAAAGTTTTCCAATTTTGTACTCGATCTTAAAGCCCACTCTTTGAAAATACTTGCGGCTATATCGATTTATTATCCGCCTTCGTTTTTTTTTGTTCGCCTCTGCAGAAAAAGAGCTCAATTAAAATAAATTATGCAACATTATTCAGAATTAGTAGCTAATGATTCTACTCAGAACAAATCTCTTACGCTCTCGCATTATATTTATGGATGACCACTCGTTTTGAGATTGCATTACTTAAACAAAACGCGTCCTTGACCTAGTGTTATCTTGGTTACTACGTCTAGAGTGGTCTCATTAATGTTTTTTACTGTTATGGGTCAACACTAGGAATCTCATAAACACATCACTTGGCAAAAATTTACCTCTACTAAAATTACATGCCCACCAAACGCTCTAGACAATTTTTTTTCAAGACAGGTGACAGGAAGAGAAGTTTCAACATCTACAACTACTTAAAGGTTCAATTGAATCTGATTACCACTCTTTTTTTGATAACTTGCCTTATCGTTAATAATAACCTATAGATTAGTAATAACTTTTCTTTTGCAATCGTAAAGTTTCTTAATAAATTACGAATTTATATAAATAATTACTTTTATTTTCATCAAAACCTTAGGGGGTTGCAATATACGTAAGTCCCGATTTTTAGGAGCATTTTTATAAGAAAAACACGTAACTCCTCTTATTACTTAAATTAATATGAAAATCATTATATTTCTTACATGATTTCAACCCTTGTTAATTTTAGATTTTTTTTGTATCATTTGTTTTATACAACGTTTTGGTTATGAAGTCGTAAATAGTTTTTCACGCCTCCTGTAAAATTTACCAAAATGGAGTTACATGGTTTTCGTATTAGGGCGACGATATCGCATATTGTAAAAATGAAATGTGCGCATGCGCAAACAACGCAATGTTACTTTGGCTAGAGTTGTCAAAAGAATTGTCATGTTTATATAGCAATTTTTTGCACTCATTTTAAGAGCGAGGTAAGAACTTTTACAAAGAGGATTCCTTCCCGAGAATTGTGCTCCCTTCGTTAATTTCGTTCTCCGAACATTCATGGCATCCCCTAAATTTCGCCGACCCGAATTAATACATAACGAAGGTTTTTAATTGCCTTTTCCTTTTTTTGGTAAGTCTCCATGATGGACTTTGAAGATTCTTTGGACAGGAATATCTTATCACTGCTTCCCTTCGTCTTTAGGTAAAGTTAAAATATGAAGCATTCCTAGGGCAAAGTTTAGTAAATAAGATCACTCTTGAGAATGTCTCCCGCTGGATTTCTAGGTAGAGAAACGATGTAGCGCTGTATGGTGTGCGGTGTGAGGGTGGGTCTTTCCTCGTAAAATTTTTGAAGTGACTACTTCTTAAGGGTTTTGGGCGGGCGTCAAATTTGTGGTCGTCACGTGTAACGCTCGGCTTGTTCGCCTGGCTCAAAAATATTTAAAGCGCATTTGTCCATTTCAAAGGATATATGGCTTTGAACTCGACGCTTTTCGTGTATGAAGACGCGAGTTCGATTTCCCGAGCGCGTTTTTTTTTTATAGATGGCGGAAAAATGAAGGACGCGAAGGATTATGAGAGAGAAAGAAGTAGTCAGTTCTGTCGGCACTTACCAAGTGCTACTTTCGAATTTTTTGGTTAATTTTATGAATGTTCAACAATCGTCGATCTCCTCACCATATCGGAGTCCAGGGCAAATTCGTCCAAACAATATTACCGAAATCCCCAAATTAAGAATTCAATCGCCAAAGTTTTATAACGTATGCATGGCGGCAATTGCGTTTTGAAAAGAACGTCTCAGCTAATGTGCACTCTGTCACAGCTTGCAATCGAAAATGAATGTCGAGGTGGACAATCGTCCGATAACCAACGCGCACTTGCGTGATTAAAATTCCAACGAAAGATGGAGTCAACGACTGTTACGAGGATCATTCAATAAAATACACCGTGAACAATAAGAATACGACACCGTTCTCCTTTCAACCCAAATGGTCTCGCTTACTGTACATTTTTATTCCAGAAAGACGCGACATTCTTCATTGTAAAAATGTGATCCCTACCTTCAACCCCCTATGAGTGATAATTACAACCCCCAATTTGTTAATGGGTTTGTGATATAGGTATTCATTTAAAAGGTCTCTTCATTCTCTATCCGAAAATGTTATTGTTTTATGAAATATAACGCACCAGGAATGATATGCAAAAAAGATTCAAGTGGTTAAAAAATGTGCAAAAAGGTTTTAAAAATTAAAAAATACTAAAAAATTTCAAAAAGATTTTTAAATTTTTTTAAATTTTCATAAATCTTTTTCAAATATTGAATTTTCTTGAATTTGTTTAGTGTTATATTTTTTGAAAATGTACAGAGTGTACCATTAAAAAACAAATGTCCGATACCTTTTTTTACCTGACCCCGTATACTTTTTTGAAGCCAGTTTTGTAACAAACATTTTTCTGTATCTCTGTTAACTAGGGAAATATAGGGTCACTCTGGACTTGGTCATATTCCGTATCTCTTAAGCAAGAGAATATTTTGAAATTTTGATTTTACCATTTTAAGTTTGACCCAAAAAGAGCAGATGACGCCTTTTTTGATAGCACACGGCGAAAAAGTAGAGCTGAACGCAAAACGACGACACGAGAAATTATCACCATTTAAAAAATGGAGGGTTGTAACTGTCACAGGAAGGGAGTCGAAGGTAGCGATCATATTTTTCGATTTTTACGTTGAAGAATGTCAATTTATAATTTAAATTTCACGTATTTCAGGATTTTCTATAAACATATACAGTGACAGAAATAATTAATTTATTCCATTTGGTTTTTCCACAGTGTATATTTCATAACAGATTTTCAATGCTATACCACTTCTGGCCTATTGTCAATTTTTTTAATCTACCCGAAATTTGAAAACTTTCCGTAAATATCTTTCTTTTATAAACCAAAAGAAACAAATTTATTATTTTTGGTATCTGCTTAAAAAAAGTACTAATTATTATTTTCGTCTTTATTTTTGAGTGGGAAACGTTTCCGCTAAGCCGCTCTACGAACCCAACTCACTATACAAATATACATGCCCGAACACGGATTCGAACCTTTCAACTGCGCCACACAGTCCCATCTAACAACTGTTCAAAAAAGTGTACAGGGTGCTCATCAGTAATTCTTATTCTTTTGACAGGCCAGCCATTTTTGTCTGTTCACATTGAAAAATCAGGACCGTTTCTATTTTATAATTACATCCTTATTGGATATAGGGTGTAATTAGAAGCAGTAATTAGTAGGCTTTTATTTCTACTATTTACTATCAAGAAACAATTGCTGTTATGCCAAAAATACAAAAAAAACAGATATATTTGACAGACAGACGTAATAGATGCATTAGAAAACATCCACTAAAATAATCAGGCAATTTCCAAACGTTTTTTCTCTGCAAGACATTTGTCCAAGTATTTGTACTCAAAATATCACTTAATTTTGTTGGAACTCATTTGCCAATTTTACAGTTTTTAGCGCATTTTGTTTCTCTTTCCGTCCGAACTACTCCTACAGTTTTCAATATATTTAATTCGTTCTTTTTTAATTTGGTAGCTTCGGCTGTGCGGCTCAGGCACTTAAGCCAAAAGATTTTCACAATTAATATGCGCATGCGTAGACTGCGTAATGTCAACTTTCTTATTTAGTGAGATATTTTTTTCGATATTTTTACCACAAAGCCTGTAGTAAAGGCAAAAATATCGCATTACAAAAATCAGATGTGCGCACGGCAACTTCCTTATTTATAGAGACATTTTTCTCCGTAAAGAAGCTAACTGCCATTATAAGTTTTTGAGTTATTTAAAAAAATGACATTTTTGAGAAATTTCAAAAAACGGTTTGCACTTTTAGAATATGCTCTAGTACAAAATAAATTGTAAATGGGTAACGATGAATTTCAAGTGGGGTGTTTATGAAGGGGTTGTTTTCGTTGTTTTTTTACGCGACACAAAAGTTGAAAGCCACCTCAGTTTTGTTATAACGCACCTTATTTTGTACGCAATGGACTTTTACCTATGCTCATTTTAAATATTCTTTAAAAATCTTGTTGCATGTTTCGATTTCTGCATTTCTTGAAAAAAGCTTATATATTTAAAGAGTCCATAAATTGGTTAGTATTGGATTTGCGGTGAAAATAACAAAAACATTCTTTGTTTTTTTACAAGATACTTTTGTTTTGATTTTTTGAATTATTCACTTTTAAAAAATACGTTTTTTCGACGGAAAATTGACAGTTTCAGTCAGAAATCACTCACTTTCACCCTGTTGATAAGATCTCCGAGCCATTCCAATTCATTCATCTAATGATGACTTCTTCAAATAATTTTGGTCTTTCTTGAGGACACATTGACATTCTAGTTTTCTCTCACGAATTAACTGTCCATAGTCGGATTGTTAATATTTTGATAAATTTCTTCAATTCCTTTGTTGCCGAGGTTCGCAGATCAGTTTCATAGTTTTAAAAGAAAACCAAACTTATTTTCAACATGTGAATAATACCTACATGGAACTGCTCTCGAGCCCCAGGCATCAAGCTTCTGTTTGAGTTCTGCTACCCCTTCACCCCTCCGATCCTGAAGATGGTAGTTTAGAAACGTGAAACTTTTCCAACGAGAGTGTTCGAAAACTTATCAGACTTTAAAGAATATACTTTGATTACATATTCGCGTTTTGCATTTCCAGTGGTCGCACAAACCTACGAAGTCGAAGCGGACAATGAATACGTTATACGTGGAAATTCGGCCGTAATGAAATGCGAGGTGCCCTCTTTTGTATCTGATTTTGTTGTCGTCGAGAACTGGCAAGACTCTCGGGGCAACACTTACTTACCAGGATCGGATTATGGTAAACCGAATTCAGCAGTTTAGCTCCCCCAAAAACGTTCTCCCGCCCTCCTGCATATCTACCAGATTGTACACGAATTCGTTTTTAATGTTAATTTTCTTTGCAGTGGTTAATCAATATTTCGAAGCTCAAGTGTACGATGTCTTCGTTATAAAGGGAAATACCGCAATATTCAAATGTCAAATACCATCCTTTGTTTCCGATCACGTCGATATAATTTCATGGCAAGACAGTGACAAAAATAAGTATCTTCCACCCGATGATAGTCAATACGGTAAATGATAACTCGTAAAATCCTGTCACTTCCTGCCACTGCCCATCCCTCTTACTTGGGGATCGCGATGTACTTAATTTAGTTATTAACAATAAACTTACATTTGATCATTGTTTACAGTGGTTTCGCAACCCTACACCGCTAACGTAATGGACGAAAGTGTACTTAAGGGGAATACTGCAATATTCAAGTGTCATATCCCTAGCTTTGTAAGCGACTATGTATACGTTACTTCTTGGTTACAAGACGATTCTATTGATATCATACCTCAGGATAAACAGTACGGTGTGTGTTCATTATTAAAAATAAAAACGGGAAGTTTGTGCATCTGGAACTCCTGTTCTTCCCGTTCTACCTTCCTTATCTAACCCCTCCCAGCTTGGAACTATCTCGACATGCAAACCGAATAGATTTTCCATTGCGAAACTCAAATAAATAAATCTTTCGCTTTGTCACGTTACGAGATTGCCGCATGCTTAACCTTTCGGATGGTAATAACAATAAATCTTTGTCAAAATTTGCATGATAAAGTTTTACCTGACATGCGGGACTTTGAACTAATTAAATATTTTTCGCGCAGACAGCAAATATTTGGTCCTTCCATCCGGCGAATTGCACATACGCGACGTGGGACCCGAAGATGGATACAAGACATATCAATGCCGCACCAAGCATCGACTAACCGGCGAGACCAGACTTAGCGCAACCAAAGGACGATTGGTCATCACCGGTATGTTTTAGTGTTTCAAATTTTCTATTGCGAACTGTAAATAATAATGGCGGAAGTTTTTTATCAAATTTTGTGTGGAGCTATCAGTTTTTTTATGTCCGCCATTATTTTTTCTTTGACTGATATGGTGGTATTAATTTCATTGTATCTTCCGTAGTGTAAGGTTTATGTCTATTGAAATCTCAAAAGAATGAAAAATTCGAAGAAACCTAAGAATTTGACGAATGTGAACAGCCTAAACTGAGGAATCGAAGTCTCTTTGATTCAAAACCTGACAGCGTCGTGCTTCCGATTCCTATGGCTCTTCCAATTCTTTAGTTAAATAGAATTTTTCGAAATTTTTATATAATATTTCCGATTGTTCAAATTCTTTGAATTCTTGCGTTTTTTAGAATCGCCCAATTCTTCCGATTCATGAGATTCTTCGGATTCTTCATTTGGTCGGTTTCTTCGAATTCATGGCCTATTAAATCAAAATTTCCTTCAATTCTTTCTATTTTCCAAATTAAATTCTTATAACTATAAGTCTGAACAATTTGAAGAGATCTAAGAAGCGGGCGAATTGGAAAATCTCACAATCTGAAGGATCAGAAAAAATCCAAGAAACTCTGATTAATGTAGAATACTCAAAAATTTAAAAAAAACTAAGCATTCGAAGAATATGAAAAACTTAAAAGATATTAAAGAATTGAGAGATTAAAGCACCCTAAGAAATTGAGGAATCCAAAAAGTGGGCGATCCAAAAATTTTAGGCCGGAGACAACTCTGGTGCATCTGAAGATAGGTACTATTGAACGATCTCTACGTAATGAGAATGTGAAAGATTCAGACAAACCCAAGAATTTTGTAACTATGAAAAACTTAAAGAAATTGCAGGATTGAGGGAATCTGTAGCATCCGAAGTAATAGAAGAATCTGAAAAATCGTAAGCTGCAGAGCTCGATAAAATGGACCAATCTGAAGGATCGGAAAAATCCAATGAAACTAATATAAAAAAATCTGTAGCCAAGGATTCAAAGAAACCCCAGAGTTTTAAGAGGAATTGAGAGAAAGTCTGAAGAAATTGAGGAATCCAACAAATCTTGAGCTGCAGAGCCCGAAGATCGCAAAATTAAAAAAAATTCAAAGGACAAAAGCTCTTCGTGACTCCTGTGAAACTATCAAAAGCCATGAATATTACCGCACATTAATTTACACAGCTACCTTTTTAGACCTATGCTTAGCTATGACCAAAAAGGTCCTTGGATCGAGTCTGTGTGCGAGCATGAAAATTTTGTGTAGAGTCGGGTTGGTAAAGTAAGAAACATTTGCCATAATCCCCCAATTATATTTGGAATAGGAAATTCTTGTTATTGACGATAAATGAGGGTAATAAAAACAAAATTATTAATAATCGATATTAATAAAGTTGTAGTTTATTAAATTGATAACATTCACATCTGTAGAGGCAATAAAAAAGCAACTGGAATGAGTTCATAAACCTACACTACTGCAGCCGTATATAGACATGTAACTTTACATAATTGCAGCCATAGTTAACTAAAAGTGACAGGAAGTGCTCATTATCATAATCTTTATTTGTCAATTCTTATACTTCATAGTTAAGTCAAATTTAATGTACTATGCTGCCCCATTAAGTAGCACCACCATATCAGATCAATAATAGAGAAATACAATCGTTCAAAACTTGTATGTCTCATGCAATATTTGTATTTACACTAAATAAAAGCTTCTTTATTAAAGTCATTAACACACTTCCTAATCTTTGACATTTTAATAACACCATCTGTCCAAGTTGGGGTCATGACTCATACGTGTATGCGTGCATTACATTAAATTAATGCATCAAATGAAAGTAAGGGAGCTTTTTAGTTTAAACAGTAACATTTTACATTCTAGCGATGTGAAGTGTTACTGTTGTGCGTGTGTACCTGCTTTAAACATGGAAAAACTCATACAAAGCAGGTGTACTCGCCACCTTTTTTTGTGGAACTCGTTTCCAAGCCCAGACTGCCTGAATGTTGGGATAGGGTACCCTTGTTTCTCGAACGGGCACTTTCAAAATTTTGTTGTCAATTAAAAAAAACGTGTATAATGGGCACGTTGTATCCGAATTAATTTGTAGATTACCTCTCCTGTTGTCCTGTTCCTTTCTTTGGTAGAGCACTAAGCAGAACGAGGTGCATTTTTTGAGGCCAACTAGTGTCAAATGATTTGGGGTGTGCTCCTAGAATTGCTATGGTACGCCACTTAAAAAATGATGTCCTTTATACAAAATTTAGTCCGCATCTCCGGACTGGTTTCAGTTCAAATGAAGCGAATAAATTACAGATTTTTGCCCAGGGTTAAGTAAACGGGCCCTGAAGCGTGGCACACCTGATAAGATTAATAAATGCGTACTTAATAGGCGTTATAGTGCCCCATTAATTTTTGTGGAAACTTGGCGGAAATTTCTACATTTTTATTTTTAATGGTCCAAATCCAAATCTTTTAAGATCTTTGAATGTAATCAAAATCTTACTTTTATGCATTTTATTGGAAATCTTTCTTCTCTAGAGATAGCTAATGTTTCCAGCAACTTTACTAGAGCTTTTCTTGAAAACCTTTTTTGGAATTTTCTTAAAAATAAACTTTAAAAAAACCCTCGTAGGAGTTTTCTTCGAAATATTTATACAATCAATACCTTTTTTTGAAAAACACTTATTAACCTTTCTGAAGAAAGTCTCGAAAACTGTTTAGGAGTTTTCGTACCAATCTTCCTCTTACTAAGTAACCCTGTTAGAAGCCGTCTTAGCAATCTTAACTTTACTTCCCTCTGTTTTTACTCTATTTAAAAGCTTCCCGCAATCTAGAGTCCCTAGTGCCACCAAGGCACTGTATTTGAGGTTCTCCTTTCTTTTGTGGGGCAGTTTGCTTCATATTATTATTTGTTGACAATATAGTCTAGGAGAGACTTACCTCTTCCGTTGATGTCGGTGCTGCCTCATACGCATTGGCATCACATCCGAGAAGGAGTTACCATCCTTTCCGCTGACAGTGTTCCACCAGTGTGCTAACTTGTGTGGTTGGTGGTGTATAAGGGCGGTATGCGGATCCGAGTACAACCCCTTTCTCGCTCCCATTCTTTTCCACTGTCAGAATTAGGTACTGCCTCTGCAACAAAATTCCCATAGTGGTATAGTAACTTAACACTATATTCCTGGTTAAGATAGGTACAGAATCTGGGATTGATTTCGGTAGGCTCAGTAAGGAACCGCGCTCCTAGACCCAGTATTAGCCTTTTGCAGGTCCAAGGTTCTTGTAAAAGGGCTGCATGAATATAATAGAAGGTGGCAGATGCCGCCCTACTGTGTTGCAGATTAATTTGTGCTACTTTTACCATTAATAAAATAGTGAAACCGGGCTTACCTAGTAGGTGTTGGTTGTGGTTCCCCTGAGGGCTCCGCAACTGATGTTACCTCTTCGCACTCCATGCTTGTCACCTCTACCTTCGTCTTGGAGAGAAGTTTGAACGTCAATCTGGTCAAGTTCACGTAGGGTCGATGGTTGCAAGTAGTCCCCATCTTGTCCTTCACCATGTCTACCACACGCCAATTGCTGGTTGTAACTCCAACAATTCGATCCTTTTCAGGATCTTCTCCGGTTCTACTTGAGCCCCGGGGCTCCAGGCGTTTGCCGTTACTGGTTTTGGGATGTTCTTCGCTTCGACGAATCGACGTTTCGCGCCCTCCCACGGAACGGAACTTTTCTCGCTAGATCCGACCTCAACCAATCCACAGATACCTGGAGCTCCTAGGTTTCCCCACTGCGGTAGATGGAAGGTCAGGTTGCGTAGAACACACTGGTTCCTCTCTCATGTTCGGTCCGGGCGGTAAAACCTAGACCCCTCGCACAATCCCGAGCTACCCAGATTCGTCCATGGTATATCGACATGGTTGACGTACATCGAACACATGTCGGCACCGTTTAACCCCGTGCAAGCCCTTGGCCACGATACGACAACCGGGCGAGGTAGCTGGTCCGCGATGCTGTATTTGGTTGCTACCAGTCGCTGTTTCATAAGCGACGAGCATCCTTATTCCTAGCATTGACCTACGCTCATTCGCTTAGGCCGTTCCCCTATCCGCCACCTGGGGACGCGCCTGGTAGGGTGCCACCCCTCAGGAAACACAGAGTTAATTAATTGACAAACATGTATCTCGCAAAACATACAGATATTAAAGTCACAATTCCGGAAGAAAGAAAAGCATTCAAAGCTTGTTTTTTGACACATAAGTACCCCGCACGCAGACGTTCGATAGACAATTAAATAAAAATCTTAATTACTTCCAGTTATTAAATAAATCAATCAATTTGATCGTAGCAAATTAGCGATATTTAGGGGCGTACTAAAACTGAGACACGCCCTAGGCGACAACTTGCTTGCTCAATTCACACACGTACCTACTTTTTCCGAAAACGGACAGCGCGTTTTAAAAATCATTTCACGAACTTTTACTACTTCACTTGATTTAACTCTGGAAAACTTTATTACAATACTCACGAATTACGCTTTCACATGCACAGGCTGACTGCCCGAAAATTTATCGCAAAGAAATGTCCACGTTCTCAAACCGCGTTAAAGAAGAGTACAAAAAAGCACCGTCTTCTCGATTTCTCCAGTAGTTAAGGAAACGCCACTTCCACGATAAAACAAACTCCTTCTTCATAAATTTTCAAATAAATCGCCAATCACAATTCGATTAGGTAAACGTCAGCCAGGGCAGCGGTTCTTAGTCTGTTAGTCGCTCTCTATAATTAAGGCATATAATTGAATTGAATTATGTATACATTCAAAAGAGCGTTTTAAATATTTGTAAATACTGAAACCAGTCAAGAGATGGACAGGATTCCGTTGAGTCGCTCAATGCTCCTTCCTGTCGCAGTCTTTTAAATGTTTGTGCAACCATTTCAAATTTGCACAAGCTTTTGAGCATCATTGACAAGCACCTGTTGGTGACAATCTTAAATCATTTGACATTAAATTAGCTACGGTGTACTGCAAGCTGGATAATTCTCAAAAAACGCACATCTACGCCTTCACGTTCAAGGTAGGTGCAGGTACTTGCTCGTAGTAAAAAGAAGTCTAGGTGGGTTTACGGTACCCTATCTCAAAAAGACCATTAAAAGTCTTAAAGGTTTGTACTTTCTAATTTTAGAACCGGTCGGAAGGATAGCTCCTACCTTTACTTTAGAGACAAAGAAGGAGTACAAATTTCACATAAACTCCACGATAAACCTGTTATGTCCAAGTCAAGCCTTTCCCGTGCCCCTTATAAGGTACTGATTTTGTAAAAATTAAAACGTTTGTTTTAGAACCGATCGGTACCGTAATGCCAAAATTTCCGCTAGAGACTCGAAAGGACACAACATTTTTGTCAAATTCCACGTTAAATCTGTTGTGCCCCGCCCAAGGTTATCCGGTTCCTCTTACAAGGTACTACTATTGCTTATTAACATTAATGAACGTCTTCCATTTGTTCTCCCAGTTTCTTCGGACCCGTTGTGAACAAGGTGCTCTATTCCTATCATCCGGGTTAAACTATGTCTTTGTTTAGAACCTGTCGCTAGCGTCTCCCCTAAGTTTCCCATGGTGGAAAACTCAAAGGCCTTCCTTGGACGAGGCGGTTTAAATCTGACATTGCTCTGTCCGGCTCAAGCATATCCCGTTCCTCTTTTCAGGTAATTTTGATCGAATCTGTCATGTTTTAGAACCCATTGGTAGCGTTCTGCCCAAATTTCCCGCCATTGACAATTTGAGAGGGTTCACGTCTAAGGACAATGCAACTTTAACACTCCTGTGTCCCGCGCAAGCGTATCCTGTGCCTCTCTACAGGTAAACGCCACTTTTATCCCATCCTTCAGGCGAAACATGCATGCATTATACCTGCCTACCTGTTTTGACAGAACCTGTAAGTAGTACGGCTCCCAAACTAATGTCCGGAGATAAGAGCAGAACTGGCGAATTGGAAGCCAGCTCCATCGCGTTACTGCTTTGCCCAGTACAAGGACTTCCCATCCCATTATTCAGGTGAATAATCACGCAATGTTTTGTTATTAGAGCCAGTCGGTAGTGTTGCTCCGAGCCTATCCGCGGGCACCTCAAAGATACAAACATTACAAGGATTACAAGGCAGATCACAACCCTTACTATGTCCCGCGCAGGCTTATCCCGTTCCCTTAGTTAGGTAATTATAAAAACATGAGTTTTAGCAGGGGTACCCCGTCTTGTCTAAACGATTGTACTATCCCTCGTGTCTTTTTAGAACCAATCGGAAGTGTCAAACCCGCCTTCAATTCTGGCGATAAAAGTAATGCGTTAGAGTCTGCCCTTCTCCGAAGTGTTGCCCTGTTATGCCCCGCTCAAGCGTACCCGGTCCCATTGCAAAGGTAATTCTTCGCTAATATTTCCCATTTTTATTTACCTTTAGAACCGGTGGGGAGTGTAAAGCCGAAATTTCCAACGGCCGATAAAAGTCACACGTTTGAGTCGATCGTAAGCGAAAGCCTGACGCTGCTTTGTCCTGCGCAAGCCTATCCGGTTCCCTCGCAAAGGTACCTTGTCTCCGTTAACCGTTTTTTTTGTCAACAGAGCCCGTCGGTGTTAAGACGCCCGTCTTTTCCTCCGACAATCTTATCAATGCTTTCGCACGGAATTTCGGTCAAAGTTTCGCTCTTTTGTGTCAGGCGCAAGGGTTTCCTGTTCCGAGGTTCAGGTAGGTCCCTAATTTAATTTTTCTTTAGAACCAGTCGGCAGCAAAGCTCCGACTTTGGCCAACGATCTGAAAATGATGGGGTACGATCGTGGCAAAGGTCACAGCTTTGCCCTGTTGTGTCCGGCGCAAGGGCTACCGTTCCCATCATTCAGGTAAGCGTTGGTTATTGCGCGACGTTTAAGTCAGTTTTTCTTAGAGCCGATCGGTAGTAAAGCTCCCGCTTTCTCGACTTCCGCCAAAAGTTCAACGTACGAAATGAAGTCGGGCGGCAGTTTTTCATTGCTTTGCCCTGCCCAGAGCTTACCGGTGCCAGCGTTCAGGTAATCTTTTTTTTGTATTTTATTTTTTAGAGCCGATTGGATCTAAAGCGCCCAGTTTTGCAACCGATTCGAAAACGTCCTCGTTCATTAGAAATTTCGCCTCGAATTTTGCCCTTCTTTGTCCTGCTCAAGCGTTACCTATCCCAATATTCAAGTAAGTATGACTTTATAGGTAAGAGTTTTGAAATCGTAGAACCAATTGGATCAAAGGCGCCCAGCTTTTCATCGGCCTCTAAAAGCTTTACGTACATAACACATTCTGGATTTGCGTTTCCACTTCTTTGCCCTGCGCAATCATTACCTATACCAATATTTAGGTGAGTGTCAAATATCCGTAGTCTGGATTTTATTATTTTGTTCATTGTAATTTAAATGTGGTTGGGGGGATTTCTTTAACAGGCAACGACGCCGTATCCATAGGGCACATTAAGCAATTACCCCATGCCCCAAGGCATACAGCTATACTTTAACATTAGTTAAGTTAGTTTCAAACCAAAATTTTAATCCCACCAAAGGAATGGTATCACTAAAATTAAATGCAAAATTCCCAATCGATGAAGCAAAATAACCCAAATCCTTTGTTTGGATACGATTCTTATCAATAAATACAATACAAAGTCTGTTTCATGCAAATAATGTTCACGGGTCGATTCCTTTAGGAAATCAAAATTATTTAATATTCTCTTCTAGTAACAATTTATCTTTCCTCTTGGAAAATGGCGCTTCTTTTAGGAATATGAAAACAGGTTGCTTCGATGACACAAATTGACTTTCTGCATCGCCCCTGTGATGAATGCGAAATAAAAAATGAGCACGTGCTCGGCTTTAAACAGAACGGAACCAAACTTTTAGGTTCCAAGAGATCGTGGTAACCACGCTCGCTTTTCCCAATAAGTTTCTTGTTATCGCCAGACATACTTTCGTTCACGTTCACTATAGAGCGGTATATGTGTAAATTTAAACAACATTCAAACAACATAAAAATTCAATTCCAAATTTTTGAAAGAGCAAAGTGACCACCTGTTGCAGTTCTCACACGCCGTTTTTAAATTCAGTTGCGTCAAGTTCCGTACCAGTTTCCTCCAACTCGTCCTGGTACAAGCTAAGCTTCTATCTCTTCATTACTAGAAGCACCTTGGGCCTTTAGCCTAAATGTGCCTTATGGATAATCCGCCATTACTGTTATTTCCTGTATTTTCAAACCAATTTCCTACAGTGGGAATTTTTTGCGGATTTCTCATTTTGTTATGAATATTACAATTGCCATTTTGTCTCGTGTAAGAGTGTCCCCTATTTACCAGTACTTTTTGTTGATAAATATTTTTATTTCCTAGAACCCATTGGAGTTAAAGCGCCCGCTTTCCCAAACGACGCCACCAGCACATCTTATACCCGAACAGTCGGGCAAAGTTTCGGTTTACTCTGCCAAGGGCAAGCGTTTCCTATCGCAATATTTAGGTGGGTTGAAACGCAAACGTTTTCGAAGATGCCTTTTTTTTTGTTTGCAGAACCAGTCGCCGGTGTAGCCCCAAAGGTAAAAGACGTAGAGGTTGAGACTTTGCGCAAATTTGTGCCCGTTGGTCAGCTCACCGTGCTAATCTGTGCCGCCCAAGGTTTTCCCGCGCCTATATTTAGGTAATCTATCCCACCACTCAGGCCTAAGTTCTCGAGAGTATATTTGTAATTGAATTTCAGAGCCTAACAATAATATCGCGCCTAAGGCGTTGGATACAAAAATTGGCTTTACCGCGATACGTTCGCTTAAAAACCAGAGTGTTTTTTTAATGTGCCAAGTTGTGGGGTATCCCATACCTTTATTCAGGTAAGGGCTTCTTCTTTACGTTGACAATATCGATGCATTTTCAGAACCCACGAATAATGTCGCGCCCAAAACCTTAGATAAGAAGTATGGGTTTTTACTCACCTCCCAAAGTCTAAACACGACCATTTACTTAATGTGCCAAGTCGTCGGGTTTCCTATTCCAATATTTAGGTGAGTGTAGTACTGGCGAGTAATGTAGGTGTTCCTCCATTTCTAGAACCGACCAATAATATTGCCCCGAAGGTGACCGATAAAAAAATTCTCATCGGTTTAATTTTGGCCGCATCGACCGATGACGTGTTCATAGTCTGCCAAGTTGTCGGTTACCCCGTTCCCTTATTTCGGTGAGTGTGCCTTTTCCATTATTTCGGTCAGTCTGGATTAGTATGCGTGAAATGATTGCCTTTTTGTTTTTTCATTTTGTAGAACCTACGGGCAAAATCGCTCCTAAAGTCCCTGGGCAAAAGTACGATGGAGGCAAGATTGTTCTTGTCTCGACCTCCCATGTTATCATAATGACTTGCGACGTTGTAGGATACCCTGTACCAATTTATAGGTATTGCACAAGTGGCTAGTTCGATTAAAATCTTAGTAAGTAGCACTGGGTTTTATTTTTCAGAGCCTACTAATAATGTTGCGCCAAAAAAGGTAGGGGCGGAGTTTGGAGGTTGGAGAGTGCTTAATGTTCCCTTGCTCGAAACCGCGTGGTGCACTTGCCAGGTGACCGGATACCCTGTGCCTAGATTTACGTAAGTTTTCCGTTTTGAAAGTGCTCGTTACAGCGAATGTATAGGCGAGTGTAAGTATCTTATTTTTCAGAACCGACAAGCAACGTTCCCCCCAAAAAGGTGGGAGCGGAGTTTGGCTTTAGACTACTCAATTTAATGCAAAACCAAAGCGCTTGGTTGATCTGCCAAGTAACCGGCTATCCAGTCCCAAGATTCATGTAAGTCAATTTAAATTCGAAAGTGCTCGTTCGTTCCACTGTCGGATGTAGTAAGTATTGTTTTACTTACAGAACCAACCAACAATGTTCCCCCAAAAAGAGTCGGTGCTGAATTTTTAGGCAGAATGCTTAACGTACTCGAAAACGCGAGCGCGTGGCTGATCTGTCAGGTGACCGCATATCCGGTACCGAGATTTACGTAAGTGCTATTTTTTGAAAGTGCTCGGGAAGACTGTAGTTAGTTCAGGTGATAGTTTTGGACCGATTTCCCTTACAGAACCTACGAATAACGTCAGTCCAAAAAAAGACGGCGAGCAATTCGAGGGCTGGAAAGTTCTAAGTATTTCTCAGTCGAAAGTAGCCTGGCTCACTTGTCTAGTTACTGGCTATCCTGTACCACGCTACATGTAAGTTACTTTTTTCTAATCAATTATATTTTGAAAGTGCTCTACGTGACAAAGGGTTTGACATCAGCGACGCACAGGTAAAAGTTCGCTATTTTTTTATTACAGAACCTACCAATAACGTGGCGCCTAAGAAGGACGGTAAGAAGTTTGAGGGGTGGGAGGTCCTTACGGTGGCCCAGTTTGATGTAGCTTGGTTTACATGCCTCGTTACAGGTTACCCTGTACCACGATATATGTAAGTAACAGTAAAGATTAGTAGCTATCAGAAGTTGCAAACAATTGAACTGTATAAGGCCTAAGGGTTCATTAAACCCAATTTTGTACTTGTTTCCTTTTGACCTAAAACATTTGCTTTGGTATATTGAGCCCGATAAATTTTTTTAATGATTTGATTATACCATTGCACTCCCCCCTTTAAAACATTTACACAACTGTTAAAGCGACTCTTAAATTTGTAGTTTTTTTTACTTGATAAATTGTTTTCATCCTTAAATATCAAAAACAGCAATGGGTACCCACACACAAAATTCGATAAGTTCCCATTCGATTATTTTTTGCAAAATTATTCAATTTGTGAAAACCGACTGAGCTTAAAAACTGTTGTGACCTACGACCCACACTTGTGAGACGTCTCACCAAGTGATGTTAATTTGATAGATTTTCAGCACTTTTGCAACTACTGTTAGAAAGTTATTTTTCCGCTTTAGCTTGTTTAGTTGCTTGGAATTGAGGTTGTTAAGCAGGAAATTGTTTATTATTACAGAACCCACTAATAATGTAGCCCCAAAGAAAGACTTAGAAAAGTTTGAAGGTTGGAAAGTTCTCATTCTTTCACAGCTTGACACTGCATGGCTCACGTGCCTCGTTACTGGCTACCCTGTACCGAGACACATGTAAGTTTAAGCTTTTATTCTTTGTGTACCCGTGTGAATGGTCGCATGTCATCTTTCCAATCCGTAACCTGACCGGATCTCGGTCTCAGTTTCGATACCATTTTAATACTGGGGTTCTTTACAGAACCGACAAATAATTTACCGCCAAAGCTCGTGGGTGAAAGAACGGCATGGAAGATTGTCAGTGTTTCTGAAAATGCCTCTATAGCCTTAGTATGTCCCATAGTCGGCTATCCTTTTCCAATCTTTAGGTAAGTCAGCGTACTCTATCCCGACATCTCTCTCGTCCAAAGAGATGCTAAATTTGTTTTCGTCTTAGAGCCAACAGGTCAAACTGCCCCAAAGGTCGCCGGAGATGGGCTGAATAAACTCTCCGCCCACGTTTCGACCGCCATCGCATTATTGTGCGACGCCCAATCATTTCCGACACCTAGAAAAAGGTGATCACTTTACTATTCGGGCATTCTGGGCATGGTTTGTAAGTAAAAATGTAATCGGAGATTATTTACAGAACCCACCGGCTCGGTAAAACCTCAGTTAAGTAGTCATATCATTGATATAAGAACTGTTCAGAGAGGACAAAACTCGGTTGCATTTTGTCCCGCGCAAGCCTTTCCCGTACCCCTCTTCAGGTAAACAATCAGGACTTGGGCCATATTACATAGAGATGATTGATTAATTGTCGCTTCACCTTCTTCTCTCCTTGTTACAGGTGGTACAAGTTCCTAGAAGGTACAACTCGCAAACAAGCCGTCCAATTAAACGATAGAGTTAAGCAAGTAGCCGGTACCTTAATTATTCGTGAAGCAAAAGTCGAAGATTCCGGAAAATACCTATGCGTCGTTAACAACTCTGTCGGTGGCGAAAGCGTCGAAACCGTACTCACCGTTACCGCCCCTTTGAAGTCCTCCATAGAACCGCAAGTGCAGACCATTGATTTCGGCAGACCCGCGGTTTTCACGTGTCATTTTGAAGGTAATTCGGATAGGTTTGAGAAATCCTATTTCAAATTTTGCCTTCTCATAATTGCTAAATCTTCAGGTAACCCGATTAAGACGATCAGCTGGTTGAAAGATGGCAAACGTCTCGATCATCACGAGGCTATCCTAAGAATCGAGGCCGTGCGAAAGGAGGATAAGGGAATGTACCAGTGTTTCATTAGAAACGATCAGGAAAGTGCCGAAGCGACCGCCGAGCTGAAGTTGGGCGGCCGATTCGAGCCTCCTCAAATTCGTCACGCCTTCGCCGAAGAAACCCTGCAACCCGGCTCTCACGTCTTTCTGAAGTGCATCGCCGCCGGAAATCCGACGCCCGAAATCGCGTGGGAATTGGACGGACGCCGACTTTCGAACAACGATAGATATCAAATTGGGCAATACGTGACTGTCAACGGAGATGTTGTTTCGAATTTAAACGTAAGCGCGGCAATCACCAATGATGGGGGTTTATACAGGTGCATCGCCAGCAGCAAGGTGGGATCGGTCGATCATGCGGCTAGGATTAACATTTACGGACTTCCATTTGTAAGATCCATGGAAAAACAGGCGATTGTCGCTGGAGGAACTTTAATTGTACATTGCCCTGTCGCCGGTTACCCCATCGACACCATCGTATGGGAGAGAGGTTGGGTTTGGTTCTAGTTTTGGCATTGACTTCAAATATTGATTTTTAGACGGACGCGTTTTACCTATCAACCGAAAACAGAAGGTCTTTCCCAATGGAACTCTTATCATTGAAAATGTGGAACGAGCTTCTGACCAGGCATCATACACTTGCGTCGCGAAAAATAGTCAAGGTTACAGCGCACGAGGATCGTTGGAAGTTCAAGTTATGGGTATGTTGAAAGCTATCTATCTATTAGAAATTCCTGTCTCCAACTCATAATTATGTGAAAATGTGTTTTATGTCACCAATAGTTTGTGCATTCTGTTACACAACCAAAAATCAAAATATATTCGGTAATCTTTGGTAGGGTAGGGTTGCCCAAGAGTACACATCTAAGTTTTACTTTGAAATAAAAAATGTGATAACTTGTTAACTATACGCTATTCATTTTAAGAAGGTAGCCGTAGAAAGCATAGGGACAGTTTGACCTTCACTGTGATTGGTTAAAACACGAGTCAGTATTACCCTGAAAAATAAAACGAGTGACGAATTCTGTCTTTTAGAAGTTTCAGTTACCAACTAAACTGTCGAATTGTCATTAGCTGTCAATTTCAAAGAACCAAGCGTGATATCGTTTGATTTATATTTATATTTTTCAAATTGTGTGCCGTTTTATATTTTTCCTGTGTGTGTCGATCTTCAATCACAGCGCCATCTACTACCTTCTTATAATGAATGCAGTATACTGTCCTAAGACAAATAATGGATATCACCAATGACTAAAGAAATAAAATCAGATTTTTACTCATACTCTTAATGGTACCTACTAGCCCCTAAGAGTACGTAGCGTATGCAACCAAAATCACGCGTCTCTTCTATATCCCTAGTCTAGTTTCATGCGACGAACTTTGCCGGGAAGTCCGCGCACACATGGAAATCTGATTTTTCTGCCAGTCACTTGGGCGATTAAAACTTTTTCATTAAAATCTCGCCTTTTGGTCACCATACAAATCTGGGACTAGTCTTAAAATTCATTTTATTTAAGCGCGCTTCCAATAATACCAAACGCGACCCAGTAATTAAAGTTAATTTATACCAAGCTAGCAAATCAATCGTTTCTAGAGAAGAATGCGATACCTTCATGGTTATCCATTAACAGAATTGCTGGATCTTCTTCTGAAGGCTTAACAAAATCACAGAAATGAGCCATATTAAAAATAGTGTTCATATAGGCAACGGGCGATCAAAAATGAGTCGCATAGTATATCATGACTCAGATATCAATTTTGAGAGATGCACCATAAAAAAGTTCCCCTTTCATTTACTTTCTTGACAAAATAAGTCCTGGGAGTATCCAAATACCAAAAACACTCGTGCAGCAGACTACCGTTATCAATTGACCCAAGATCCAAAGACGTTTGTGTAAATCGTCCACGTCGTTCCACACACTGCGCATGTCCAAAGCATTTTTGGATAAGTTCGCTTTTCAAACAAATTTGAGAACACAATCCAACTTACAAATAACCTATAATTAGTCCAGGGTAATTAGCTTATTCAAACTAAATACAAAATATAAAGCTAAAAATTTGTCTGAAGGTACCTAATGGATAAGTATCGTGGAAGCTATAAAAAAAAGTAGTTCTGCCAAAAAATTGACTTTAATATCTCAAAAGCCGAAACTTCAAACAGTTTAGTTGCCTAATTTGGAGGGTCCAGGTTCGTTGGGTTGAGTATTATAAAATGAGTAATCTTGTACATCCGCCTCTTCATTCCCTTCAACTAGTATGGAAGGTCTGTTGCAGCATGTTTCACCATTGCATTTTCCGCATATTTTTCTACCATCCCCAGTCAGTAGCAGGAAAGTCTATCCCATGCAAAGACTAAACTTGGTGAAAAACTCTATAACTATGCTTGCTGCTCCAGATGTTGGTGGTAGTACCAAGAGATCAAACTTTCGACAAACTGGTTGAATAGCTATAACCTTTTTTATAATAGGTAAATCTAGTTCCATTAAAGTCATCTGAAGAAACGCGCCCGTTATATAACAGTTTGAGGAAGTTATCTCTCTATTGAGCAATATACTCGTATTCTTCAGTTGAATTTGTATCATTGAATGCAGAAACCTTTTGCCTTAGTATCTCGTTCGATTGCAAAGTTTAAAAGCTTGGTTTTTGCCTTAATTGAATAGTGAAGGAATTGTATCGAAATCGGTAACTGTATGGAGGATAGCGATGTGATTTTTAGCGCATTTTTTGCAAATTTATTTGTAAAAAGTAGCTTTTAATCTCACTTTGGCTGGCTGGCTGGTTGGCTGGCAGCAAATGTGGGCGCGTAGAAGAACTCTTGTAGAAAGGCAACGGGTGTACGTGTATCTACAGGGCCGTGAAATTTGTCAACCTTAGGGACATGGCTACATGATGTGGGGTTGGCGACATCTGGGCGTCATCCTCGAGCGTAGTATACTAACGTGAAGGTTTTTCAGTTTTTTCCTATCTTCTACTACAGTTTTGGTCCGATTCTTTTCAAATTGGTGTCGTCGGAAAGATGTTGTAAACTCGCACAACTCCTGCGTGGCAGAATTTTGTTTTTTGTCCTAGGGGCGAAATTAAAGACCTTTTGCGAGGCGCGCGCGCGCGTCTTCGAGAGGTAGTCTACTTCGGGCGCCTTTTACCTTCCGTTGCGAACTCACGCGGTTTAACGTTTCGTAAATTTCGAATCGCTGTCTCTCTTTCTTCTCGTGTCGCCAATAGAAATGAATTGCGAGTGAACGGGACGTCGGAAGTGGGTACCGTCAAAGGGAATGTGGTAGCCCCCGACACGATCTTACTGATGGTGAAGTCAAAACTTTAAAAGCGAATTGCGGGTGCACGCGGAAAGTGGGAAGCGGTTAGTGAATGTAGTAGCCTTCGCAAGATCTGTTATTGATGGTTGAGTCGAAAGTGGCTAATAGAATACCGATCTGCCACACAAAAATGCGCTGAAGTCCCTTCGATCTCAAACAAGGACTTTGATAATTTTTTACATTCCCAAGTGCTTCTTGGGGTAGCTTGCTATTAAACAATTTTTGTAGATTAAACTTTGTTGTTGGAATTAACATTAAACGTTTATCATTATCCCGTGCTACAGCTATCGTTATGACCAGGAGATCAGTGTCCTCGCCTACTATAAGTCCTTTCTTATTTTCGTTAGGAAATGCGAAAGCTGTATTACTACGTGAGTCGGCGTCCCTCGGAGAAATTTGAACTTTAAATTTAGCAGCCAAGAATGAAACAAAGTTACTTTTATTCGAGGTATTTTTCAAAAATTACGTAGAAAAAGAAAAATTTGAATCACTTACAACAATATCCACAGAGTTGTATTATTCCAGCATGGGATTGTTAAATCGGTAAGACCTGGATCACCTGTAAGTCCTCCTTCTACTTTCATTGATATCATTAACACCTGCTCGATGGTCAAGTCCGTCCAAATGCTACTCCAGAATTTTGATGTTCGACTAATAGTAGAATATCTACTGGCGACAAATTTGTCGTACTCTTCCTTAGTTGGTTGGTCAAACGTTACAATACAAATTTTTAGCCTTGCTTCTTGCATTCTTCCAATGCATGCTGAAGACAAGTATTGACTGTTGATGGAGTTGTTGGTGACATATTTGCAAAAGGTAGGGGTCATGTTGCTGATGTTTCATATTCCCGACTTTGATTCATTGAAATATCCTTAAAACCACTCCAAGCCGGAATGCCCCCCTTCAAAATACCTGGGACCTGACATCCTCAGAATATACATAAGTTGTGCTACTTTAGCAGTACTATTATTTGAAAAGGACATGATACGCGACCTCTAGACACCGACTGAACAGCCGCAACGCGCGACCGGCGGCGTCTTCTCTTTTCTGATGCTGCCCCGCGACTACACCACCCACCACACGTTGCAACACCAGAAATTAGGAATTGCTATACTAAAAGCTACCTGTTTAACAATTATCAGCTTTATATTTTGTTTTAAGAATACCCTACGTATAATTATTGGCTAATTACCCTGGACTAAATGTCCAACTCCGTTGAATTGGGTATGCATTTTTGTAAAAAAAAAAAGTTCCATACCAAGAATCGAACCCAAGCCGCTCGGGTACCGCCGGGTATCCTTGCCACTAGACTAGACCATTGTAGCATACATTTAACTGACCTGAATTCTCATTCCAAAATAGGTGAAGCGTCAATTACCTATTACGTTTCTTTTCGCATGCGCAGTGTATGGAACGGCGTGGACGATTTACAGTAGGTACCAACTGTTTGGGTGCCTATAGATAATAGCTTACTAACGTAAGGCTCCTAATTTTATACAACCAAACTTTTGCACTTAGTTCACAAGTTTGTAACCAACGTTTAAAGCCAAAAGAGTTGACTGCACGATTTTCAGATTGCTTATTTTTGTGGCTGCGTATAATTATAAAGGAAATTCACGATTTAGGCTAACATAAGATCGATCTAAATAAATTATAATGTTTGCACATAAGGTTTCACAATGTATACCTACAATTTTATAAATCTTGTAATAGAAATTAAGTTTTTGAGGTGCTGAAACAACTCCCATGTATGAAAAACAGTAAATTATTATTATACTCTTAACTAATCCGTACTCTTAGGCGATGCTACCCGATAAATATGCAGAAACAACCAACAAAATTGTGGTTGATGATTCTGTAGAACATTTGGAAATAATCCTGATCGTATTACTGATAAGTTGCATTTATTACCAATGGTAAGAACACAACAAGCTCATATGAGTCTACTCTAATAGGTGATTGTGAAGATGGAATGCACAATATTTGAGTTGGAGAGAAGGAATTTGACCTAAGTATTGATATCGTGATTTCACTACAAATTATGTCAGTGATAAAATCTTTGTGTAATTTCTCTAGAACAAGACGGTAACGAAGACGTTCTTGTACATCGCAATAATAAACTTTTTGATAATTGTGTGTCAAAGGTAAGATAATGATCTTTTTGGATTTATTTGATGCGACCTTTTGAATATGTCATCAGTATTTATTTTGCCTTTACAGTATTGCCAGTGATTAGTCCCTTTCAATTTGACGATCCCTTAAACGCCGGCGACATTGCTCAACTGTTCTGTCATGTCACTAAGGGCGATAGACCTCTAAAAATCAAATGGTACCACAATGGAAAACACATTTCGCATCACGGTCTTGGCATTTCGACGTCTGCTTTT